CACACACACACACACACACACACACACACACACACACACACACACACACACTTACACACTCACATATCCCACCCCATCCAATCCCTTAAAGAGCTTGAGGTAATAAGCATACAGCCTCAGTGATTCCCAGCTATCTCAATGTTTTGGTGCAACTAGCAACTGCCCTCATCAGAGAGGAGGGGAAAACACCCATACATTCAATCTCTGTGGATTTCTCCCTTTCCTGTATTAGGACAAAAAGCCAGATTTTCAGTAGGACATCTCTAGGAACCTTAACCATAGTCATTCATGAACCCTTATTCTAATATTCCAGTTTTAATGTGATTTTGCTGGGGACTAGCAACTGACTCAGTCTCCATGGTTCACATTTTCAAGAGATCAAATGTGATTAATCTCTTGCCAGGCTATGGATTAGTTCTTTTCAGGTCAGTTTCCACTCTGGTGCCTTTAGCAAGTAAAAGGTCACACGGCACAAACAACAGCTTCTGCTGGATGGAGGTGGATTCTCTTAAGAGGGCTACAGACAGGCTGGCAGTGGTTAGTCCTTTAGAATAAAGTGTTACTGGTGGGGTGCAGTGGCTCAGGCCTATAATTCTAGCACTCTGGGAGGCCGAGGTGGGAGGATCACTTGAGGTCAGGAGTTCGAGACCAGCCTGGGCAGCCTGACCAGACCCTATCTCTACCAAAAATAGAAAAAAATAGCCAGGTGTGGTGGCATGCATTTATAGTGCCAACTACTCCAGAGGCTGAGGGAGGACAATCACTTGAGCCCAGGAGTTTGAGGTTGCAATAAGCTATGATGATGCCACTACACTCTAGCCTGGGAGACAAGAGTGAGATTCTGTCTCAAAAAAAAAAAAAAGAGGTTATTAACATATTAACACAAACAGGAAAGTCAGGAGGAGAAACTGGTTTTTAAGAGAAGGTATTGGTCACTGAGAGCATATAAAATTCAAGGTGCTAGCAAGACATTTAAATGGAAACCATAGGTACATGGTCAAAACTGAAGATAAGGGGCTCTGTGGTTCTCAACTAGTCTCATCCTTATATTGCCAGAGTATGAAGAATGCAACTTCTTTCCTTTGAGCAAATACTTCTTAAAACCCATTTATACATGAGCAACAGAACTGGAACCTACTGGCCTAAGGCCTCTGAACCTAGTGGATTTTATGCCACATCTCAGTGGAAAGTAGCATTAGTCCGGCATATCACTGAATGAGAGGAGTAAAATAGGTTGAATTTCAGATCATTTTGATGCAGCTGATGTAGGCCATCAAAGAATAGCTACATCTGTGATAGATAAATGTATTTAGTTGTCTACTCAGGATAGACTACAAAAATATTTATGTAAGTCTGTTTCATGGTACAACTGTAGTTCACAGAAGATTCTACCCCCTTCGCATTAAAGTTTAAAACAATAGTGAAACAGATGTGTAAAGAGTATACCCAGAATTGGAGTTTACTCACTAAATTGTGTATATTAAAGAAGGCACAATCCCCAAACATTTTAATTATTGATGACCTGCGCTTGTGAATGTTTGCTTGCAGCCACAGCTGTAAAAAGCTGTTGCTCACTCTTATTATGACCCCAGCTTTCCTGGTAGAAACCTCATGTAGCTACTGCTGGGAGCATAGTTGAGGGGTGGAACTCAGAGCTAATTTTCCCCTCAAGAAGTAGTGGTTTGTTACTAGTAGTATTAATTGAGCTATATTATTGACTTTTACAGGTCAGTTTAAGAATTTAGACACCATTGAGAAGAAGTTAGGCACCATATGTGAAGTTACTCCTGTGAGAAAATGTGTTCTAAATCCCAGACTTAACTGAAGAATTTTTCAGCACAGCTCAGATATAAGACTTCTGTGCACATTTAAAAGTGAGTAGGCGGGAATCCAGAGAATAGCATATATTAACAAAGTTAGGTGCTTGTTTACTCTTATTTCCTTTGTAATTCAGGGCTTCTTGACAAAAGAAGGATGGACAAGAATTTAGCCAGTTTGATGGAAATTAGCATGCGTAAAGAATAAGTTTTAATGCTGTAATGGAAAAGCTTCAGATGGAGGAGTAATCTAAAAAGAGAAATGGTATTCTGGTGCCCATGAATGGACATAGAAAGCAGTGCCTTCCCTCTACACCGGAGCAGACAAACTTTCTACTGTAACCTTCAGGGCTTTCTAACTGCTTCTGTCTAAGTTGATAATGAGGAATGTGAGATCATCTTGTTTTGGATCCTCTTTCATTGGCAGACCATTAAGAAACAAATTTTCAATTATAAAAAGTTGCCATTATACTCTTATATTTAAGGTACATGTAACCATTTATATAATACATGTTTTCCCAGTTTATAAATAAAATCTAT